GAAGGCTTCGAACCCACCACCTATCCCCCAAATCCATGACGGCCGGAGTTTCTGTCTTCCGCCGCCATGGCCCTCTCCCCTTGATGCCTTTTTCCATCCTGATGCATGACGACAATTCGTTTTTGCGGAAACCCTTCTGATTTTATTGTTTCGGAGTGATCCGACCCCCACGGGACTTCGCGATGACAGTTCGACTCCAGGGTAACCTCTGGCACGAAACGAGAGCCTCACGTCCTGTCCGGGAGACTCCAACCCTACGGCCAAAAATCCTCGGCCACGCCCCCCCTAGAACTCTGATCGGCGACCCAGTACGGGAAGCTGCGAGGGGGCGTGAGGTTGGTATCAGAGCTGATTTGTTTCGGCTCTGAGGTTTTCCTAGGACAATTACCCTGTTTAAGAGTTTTTCCTTTTTGATCTTTTTAGTAGATTTTTCGCATTTTTGAGTAGGCTGTCTCCCCGTCAACGGCGTCCCTCGAATAGCAATCAGAACCGAGCGAGAGGCCGGGCTCGAGGTCCGCCTCCCGCGATGGTTGAACCCGGAATTGGGGGTGGAAACGACGACGATAACCACGGGGGGATGGCCAATCATCCCCTGTATTTTGTACCTCCTCCCTCCGAGGTTCCCATTTTTTCCGAAGATGATACCGACCCTCGCACCTGGCTAGCTGCCTTGAAAGCCCAGGGCTGGTCGGACCAGTTGCTCCGAGAACGAATTCCCGAAAGGTTAGCCAGAACCGCTTTTGAGCGGTATGGACAAAACCCTTTCACTAATTGGTTAGCCTTCCAGAGGAAATATCTCGACAGATTTGATCACATCGCACCAAGTCAATGCCTCCGTCTAATAAAGGAATATACGCAGCAGCCTCGGGAGACCTTGGCTAGATATGCTGAACGCTTTACGTACCTAGCCGAACGCTCCGGGGTGGACGAAAAAATGGTACGGACTGATTTCGTCAGAGGATTGTCAGATTCTCGCTTGCGGAAAAAGATCCGCAAGAAATGCAACCCTATAGAACATACCCTGATGGAGCTAATTCAGTACGCAATTAAGTATGGGAAAGAAAATTACGATGTGGGCTTGGACTCAGAATCTGACGAAGACGACCCTTCGGGTGTTCGACGCAATAGCTATTCCGCTACGACACGAATGTTCGAAGATCGCTTCGGGTTGGGTCCGACAAAAATAGGCTCGGATCGGAAAGCTTCTTCCTCTGCTTCGACCTCCTGTCGCTCTAGTCAAGCACAAGGAGGCCGGGGCGAGGAAGAAGTGTCCATGAACGAGGTCACGGCCCAATTAGTTACGGTAGTGGCCCCGTTGACGGAGTTTGTTCAAGGTTTGCAGCGGCAACGCATAGCCGCCGCACAACGGCAACCGGCGGCTATGGCCGCTGGGGCCCCTATGATAAGACCGGCCGTGGCCGGGGTTGTCCCGCCCCTACGCTGTTATAATTGTAATCAGTCGGGCCACCTTGGGAAAGATTGTCCGAAACCTCGAACTCAGAGTGGACCCGCGGGTCCCACCGGACCTTCCCAAATCCCGCTGGCTGTTCCAACCGCTGCAAGACAGGGGAGGGTAGCCATGGTAATGGACACTGGAACGACGGAGATGGTGACCCCTGCGGCCACCGAGATCGGACCCAATGAGTACATGGCTGTTGCGATGTTCGAACCTGGGACCATTGGAGTGATACGTCACGTCCAAAGGATTACCGAGGAAAGCGACCTCGGGCCTTGGCGGCCGGGGTTCGAAGATCTCACGGCCCCTAGCCCTGAGTACAAAGACGGTCACATCGACGTGTTGGATGCATTGAAGGCTCTGGATCTGCGGATCCCCGTCCCCATTCCCTATCTGCTAACCATTTCCGAAGCGGCTAACGAAAAGTTGATCGAACGATGCCTCAAAAATAGGAGTCGCTTCGAGGAAAGTTGAAAGGGCAAAAAGCCCGTCCTACGAGACCTACCCCCAAACGAAGAGTCACAACCCTCGACCTCAAAGGTGCACAAAGCCAACCGGATAGGAATGATCCAGACCGTAGATCCTGCCTCGAAAAAACCCGAGGTCTTCCTCCAAGCCTATCCTATAACCTGGAAAAGCGTTGAGTGTGATTGCGAGGTCTGGGGAAATCCCTCGGCCGCCATCCTAGACTCGGGATCGTCAGCGGTCGCCATTTCTTGGAGATTGACGAAACAATTGGGAAGGGAAGGACAGGTTCAGCCCCTCCGACCGGATGAACTGTATATATCCGCTACGTAAGACAGTATTCATTGTAAAGGGCGAATAACGAACGTGCCTATACGGGTGGGGCGGGTGCATTGTTTGTGCGACGCAATCGTGTTGGATGTACAGGCGTATGATGTTCTGCTAGGCATTCCGTGGCAGGCGGCGGTCGGAGCGCGAATGCACTTTGACAGCTGTAAGGTGGTGCTCACGGCCCACTCCAAACCACAAACGATACCAATGAGATTGGCGGTGCGTATGCGTACCGAGCCGGCGCCTCGAATCACCACGAAAGCCCACCAAATCAACATGATCCGACGCCTGTCGCCAGGTGAAAATGAAACCTCGTCGGGAACTGACGAGACTAACGTTCCTGACCGATATTCGATCAGGGTTCAGGATCGGTGGCGCCATTCCTGGCGACGAGAACCCCTAGAAATAGTTTGGAGCGAGTCCAATTGGTCGCACGCGTTCTCCTCCGTGGTGCAGGGGGAACCCCTGCTGAGGGCGTCCCAAATAGCTGACCTTTCGGAACCCCCTGCGTCCTTATATCTCAGGACGGACCCCCTACCTGAAAGATTTACCGAGCTTAGGGGGCTATGCGATTTATCTTTTTGACCTCCATGGCCCTTACTCACGAATGAAAAAGCCGCGATACTCTTGAAAGAGGGGGTGTCGTTTCAACCCCGAACAAGGGAATATCGGTGGGGACCGAGGGAACTGACGCAGACCTTTTCGGTAGAACCCTTGGCCGAACCCTCGGCCGAACTCGAACTGGATAGTGACAGTGACATGGAAAGCGAGCCGATGAGTCCAGCGGACAATTTACTTACTGCGACTGTCCTTTCGGCGAAAACCGACAACTCTTCAACAGAAAAATTCTCTAGAATTAAATAATCATTCTATATTAAAATTACGTTCTAAATTTCAAATTTTTATTCCATCTTAAAAAATGTCATTCCAATTTTAAAATTTTCCTTCTTACTTGAAAACTTTCCTTCCAAGAATGGGGTATTCCTTCTTATTTGAACTGCATGCCAGAAATGCAATAAAAGTCTGGACGAGTTCATGAAATATTTTAATTGGATTGTCATTCTAAGTAAATATTTTCAGTCATAAATAGGTTAATTCAATCTAAATTAGAAGATATTTGTTATAATAGAATGAAAGTTTAATTAAAACATTTCATAAACTCATCTAGACTTTCATTCCATCTTTAGGAAATAGATGTAGTTGGAAGGAAAAACTCATATTTAGACGAGAACTTATCAAATAAAACTAGAAATTTTAGAATTGGACGAACATTGGAATGAAAGTTTATAAATATGAAAGATTTTTTTTTTTTTGGAATGTTTTTTCAACTTTCATTTCTCGTGGGAATTTTTCTGTTGTTTGTTTGGGGCCTCACGCGATGGCAACGCGGCGGTTCTCATGGTTACGACGACGGTCTCCCTTCCTGGGGGAACCGTAGAAGTTCTGTTACCCGCCCGTGTTCCGGATGAATATAGACGCCTCCTCATGACCGTTATACGGGCCTATCCTGAGGCCGTCAGTATTCAGGACCATGACATAGGGCTAACCCCTTTGATACAGCACGCGATTGATACTGGGGATCACGCCCCGATACATTGCTGACCGTACCGATATTCCCTTAAAGAAAGACAGCTGGCATTGGAAAGGGTACAGGAATTCGAGCGGTTGGGGTGGGTCGAACTATCGCTGGGACCGTGGTATTTTCCCATGGTCCTCGTGCCAAAACGAAATGGTTCGGTCCGGGTATGTATCAACTACCGAAAATTGAACGCTATCACTACCAAAGATGTGTATCCCTTGCAGCGAATCGACGATTTATTAGATGCTATCGGGGCCGCTCGAGTCTTTTCCAACTTGAAGTTCGATATCCGATACGGTTTTCACCATGTCGCAGTCCGACCGGAAGACCGACCCAAAACCGCTCTTGTCCTATTTGAGGGCACGGGGCAATGGGTCCGGTGTCCCATGGGAATTTGTAACGCCCCTGCAACGTTTCAGCGGGCCATGAATATGGCCTTCGCTGAGTTCGTTAACAAAACCCGACTAACCTTTGCCCCTAATCAATTTTTGCGTGATTGTGTACATGGATGATATTTTGGTCTTTTCAAAAACACACGAGTACCACGTGGAACACATTGAGTGGGTTTTGCATGCATTAAAAGATGCGGGGTTTAAAGTGGCATTGGAGAAAAGCGAGTTCTTCTTGTCGGAGATCTCACTCTTGGGGTACATCGTCACGGTCGATGGACTAAAACCGGATCCGAGGAAGGTGGCAGCAGTTCAAGAAGCCCCGGCGCCGGTCACACTCACCCAGGTTCGGGCTTTTCTAGGGCTGGCATCCTATTACCGACACTTCATCAAGGGGTTCGCCGGTGTAGCGAAGCTCCTAACGAACCTGCTAAAGAAAGAGGAGCAGCTGATCTGGACGCCGGAATGCGAAGCGGCGTTTCAGGCGTTGAAGGAGGCTCTGACATCTGCTCCTTTGTTGGCGCGTCCCGACCCGACAAGACCGTTTGCACTTTACACCGACTGGCAGCCGCAGGCGATATCTGCGGTGCTTACTCAGCACGGGGAGGACGAAAGGGAACACGTCATTGAGTATGCGTCCAACACGCTGAGCCAGGCGCAGGCTAATTACGAAGCGTGCAAAGGCGAATGCCTGGCGGTGGTGTGGGGGATTCAGCATTTCCGACCGTATCTTTAAGGCCAGAAATTCGTGCTGGTAACGGATCATCAGCCGCTGGTGTCCCTACGCAACAACACGGACTACACGGGGACGCTGGGAAGGTGGGCGGTGCGCCTGCAGGACTATGACTTCAACATCTGCCACTGTGCCACGCAGCAGTATGGCAACGCCGATGGATTGACGCGCCTCCAGCCGCCCAACAAGTGTCCCGCCAACGAGCGACTCATTCCGTGGAGGCCAGAAGCCGCAGCGACGAAACCGCGCTACGGGGAGCTATACGTGCTGCGCAAGGACGACGCCCGAGTCCGGAATGGAGGTTTCGCCGCAGATTGCAGACTCTATCTCTTTGCCCTCATCCAACTCCCTCGCTCTCTCGTTTTGTCCCTACTCGTCCCCTGAAACACATCTAAGTCCCTGTTTCTTCTGTACCTTGCCTATGGTCCCGGACCAAGAAGGGTCACATTCGGGAGGGCCCAATTTTCTTTTGTGGGTGCAGTGTAGTCAGTGTCAAGCGGTCAAATCCCACGGACAATGCATTAGGTACCGAAGTGAAAAGACGTGGGTCTGTCCCAACTGCAGAACGAACCAAGTCCCTACCGAGAAATGGTATCTGGACGCACGGACCGCCGACGGATTCGCGCCAAGTGCCCGCCGGGCAGAAGTCTGGACGGACCTTCTGTTGCTACGGAGGCTGCCAGGCGACTCGCCGTCAAAACTTATCAAAGCCGAGCGGCGGAGAGTCACGGAGCGGGCGCAGGACTATCGTTGGCAGGGACCGACGTTACAAAAACGAAAAGTCGATGATGGCGGAGGGACTAGCTGGTTGACGGTTCCGCACCCTTTCGCTAGGTTCGATTGGACACGAGCCGCTCATGAAGAGGATGCGGTCCATTTCGCGGTCTAGTACACGGAAAAAGCCATCGAAAAGAATGGATGGTACTGGTCGGGAATTCGGGAAGATGTGAAATACATCGTCCAGAACTGCCCGGCCTGCGCGGCGGACAAGGCGCCGGTACAGATGCCTCGAACGATGATGCCTACTCGTGTAGAGCGCCCCTTTTAGAGGGTTAGCATCGACACGACGGATATCAATGTTCCGAGAGGTCCCGTCGATCAGGGAGAGCTCAATGTTCTTTTAGTGGCCGTCGATCATTTTTCGAAATGGATTGAGGCGTACCCTATGACCAGCCGGAATTCGCAGGAGGTAGCCTGGTACGTAAACCGATTTTTGTGCATGCATCTAGACGTAGAAGAGGTACACATGGACAATGGGTCGGAATTTCAAGGCGAAGTAGAACGGCACCTAGTCAGGGCGGACGTTAAGATTATCTACTTGCCGGGGCATTGGCCTCAAGCCAATGGCCTGGTAGAGAATGCCAACCGACTGATTAAGACCGCTTTTAGACGGAATATCACTGCGGGAGACACCCGGCCCTGGCCTGTCATTGTCGACCACATTTTGGCCGTCTATCGGACTACCCCACATGGTAGTACTGGGGTGTCCCCCTTCCAACTGAGAACCAATAGTGTCCCTCGGGTGCAGTTGTCCCCGTTGGTAGGTACGGAAGTTAGAGCAACACAGGCCCAACACAGAGATAAGGCCCGCCACTACATGGACTTAATGGCTAGGGCCTATCCCCCGTTAGCTCGCCGGCGACAGCGGGCCGTAGATCGGACGCATCAACGGCAGATCCGCGATTATGAGAACCGACATGCGTCCGCGGGACCACTTCCTCGCGGTAAAATTCGGGACTTGGTGCAGGTACGGAAATCCGCGAGCTCCTCCAAGATCCACGCGCGCTACACAGGCATTTACGAGGTAACGGAAGTTGGTGCACAGGGACAGCACTCCGTGAAGCTGATTCCCCGTCACAACTCCCAGGCCCGACCGCTGACACGGCACGCTGCTGCGCTCCGGCCCTTCCAGTCATCGCTAGGCCCCATACGGACCCCCGCTCCTGCGAGATCATCCTCTCCTTCTTCGTCTTCCTCCTCTTCCCGATCTGCCTTGTCCATTGGTGCTGAGAGTTTCAGGGAGCAGGATGAACCATTGCCAACCGGAGCATGAGCCCCTCGAGCATTTCCAGACGCCGCTTGCAGATCGCTCGTTGCGGCATCAGTTCAATGAGGAAAGGCATTTGCGGTACGACATTCAGCAGGTGAACGTGCCAGCGCCCGGGGTTGCTGATCTGGCGGCGTACTCGTTACTTTGCGATCGGCTGACGTATGCGGGGGTGTACGTGGACGTGACGCAGTTGCCTCGGCGGGAGACGACTCCAGTGTTCATCGAGTTCCGCACGCTCTAGGTGGCACCCAACTTCGTGCATAGCGTCGCCACCTTTATCAGCGACTTGACAATCCTGCCACCGCCGAGTCGGGAGCTGGCGCGAAGTTTTGTGCACGCGTACGTGGTTCAGGCAGCCAGATCGGTGGCCAGAGTGCAAGGACGGGGGGGACACCGATTCACAGCCCACGAAACGCTGTTGCGCAGGGCAGAGGACGGACTAATCGCGTTGGTGCCGCAGCTCCCCGCGCTTATTCCTCCCGCTGGCCCTCTCAACTTCCAAGCTCTTCCCCCTGCCCCGTACTAAATGCCTCCCTTCTTTTCTTACTCCACTCTCCCCTATCAACTCACGGAGGGCCCTTATCCTATGCACGAGTTTTCTCGAGTATCTGGTGGAGCTAACTGACGTGGAACCGCTGGCCTTCGCAGATGAAGACGCGTGGGAGTTGCACCGTGCGCTGTACAAGTCGGTAACGTTGGGGATGTTCCGATTCTTCGTGGATCATGAAGACCACTGCATCGGGGAGCACTTCGCCGTCTACTACGTCATCACACGGCCCAAGCCGGCGCAGAAGGAGGGGACAGTGGCACTGTACCCATTCGCCCAGCTCCAGACGATCGATCCGCGATTGTTGGAACTCATACATCTTGAGCTCCTCTCCATTGCGCAAGTGATCGCGAACGAGGAAGAGGAGATCCAGCCACGATTGTGGACGGCGACGGCCCTGCGGAGAACGTACAACGAGGTCGTCATCCCCGATTACATTGCGCATCGCACGGAGAGGTTGGAGGACTTCCCGGAGGAAAAGCCGTTGCGGCCTCCCTCGTCGTATCCCCGACCGGCGCCACCCAAGGCCCCCAGGAAGACGCCGAAGAGGAAGAGACACCACCCGTCACCAGGAGCGCAAGGCAGCAGAATCGGTGGCGGCGCGGAGGTGATTCAACCCGCGTGTACGCGGAATCTTGACCCCGCGCCTGGGAGTGCGGCGACGCTCGTTAAGGCAATTGTCGTGCCATCGCCGCCCTTCCCGCGCGTGCCCGATCTCAATCTTGATGGAGCCGGGCCATCAGCAGCATCAGCAGCCGGGGGAGGAAGCCGAATGGGAATACTTGATCCCATATCCAGACCCCCCGTCCTCGCGGGACCTCTCCGCTCCCACCAGCCACCCTGGGGTGCCCCGATCATTGACATTAGCAGTTCCTCCGAGCCGGATGGTCCATCCGACAGAGGTGGATTTCATGGTGGAACCCACCACCATCAGGCTCGAGGCCATCGCGGGGGCGCCGCGCCCTGATCCGGCGTGGGAGCCATATCTGACACCCCCTTTTCAAGGGTGTATTGCGGCGCGACTGGCTGGGACGCTCATCTACGAGACCATGCAGCGTCCCAATGTGATGTACCACTTCCTTGTCTTCGCGGCGCAGAAGCGGGAGCGGTGGCCTTACACCGAGACTCATGTGGTGATGAAGGGTCCAGGGCCCCGATCGGTGCGCAAGCGGGTGGTGCGAGCGGTGGCGGATCAGGCGCCACGTGTCCTGTCTCATGTGCCGCGGGCCTTCCTCTATCCCTCATTCGTCCAGCACCACTTCCAGGAGGAAGATGCGCCGACGACTCCCGCGGCAATGACCGCTTTTCTTCCACCTATTCCGCCCCCTCTCAATCCCGACATCAATCACTTCCTCTGATCACCCTCGTCTACCTGTCCCCGCTTCTCTCCTTCTCCTTCTCTTCATCATCTTCTTCTCCTATGCCCAAAGTTCGCACGTCGAGATGCGCTGTATATTAAAACAAAAAATAATAATTATAAAAAAAAAAAAGAAATTTATCGATCGGGCCTGCTGACGATGAAGGGGCCGCCCGATCGGACGTATACTATGGGAGGAGGCAATGGAGGATGCACGATGCATCCACGTAGATTAGGAAGATGATCGGGCCAGCTGACGATGAAGAGGCCGCCCGATCATCTAAGACATGATGACCCGAGCAGTCGGGAGACTGCTAATTTTTCGGAACCCCCTGCGTATCACAGATGTGATAAGCTCAGACCCGTACCGCACGGCTTCCCGTATCCCTGAGGAAGAATCCCCCGGAATTCCCTAGGCACGGATGTGGACAAACAAGAGTTTTTCTTTCTTTTTGCTTTTGTTTTCTTTTTGAAACGGCTTTTTCATTTTTGGTTAATAACCCCCGCACGGGGGAATAGCGGCCGCGGTATGAAAACCAAGAAACGGGTGCGGTTGGGACTTTTTGAATTTTTGCGCGCGCACGCCTAAGCTCCGATTTCTTCGCGTGTCTCGCACCCCCGTTTCTTGCTTTGCAGCCCCGCGCCATCTTCCTTTCTTGCTGTGCGCGCTTCCCTCAGGCCGGACTCTTCGTCTTCCCCTATGCCCAACTTGATCCTTACCCCGTCTTCCTCCGCGAAGTGATTGGCTGCGTAGTTGGGATGCTCGGATCAAGGTGGAGAGCGGGAAACGGCGCCCTTGAACGAACACCCCAATCACGTAGGACCATGCAACCCCGCGGGTCGAACCCTCTAACTCCCCACCGTTCTTCTGTCCTGCTCATCTACACCCTGCGCTGCCCGCACCTCGCGCTGACAACCCGCCGCCTCCCGCGNGGGTCGAACCCTCTAACTCCCCACCGTTCTTCTGTCCTGCTCATCTACACCCTGCGCTGCCCGCACCTCGCGCTGACAACCCGCCGCCTCCCGCGCTATAAATTYGYGCAACCCTCTCCTCTCCTCCTCTTTGATCTCGGCTGCAATGCTGYGYGAGCTATGYGCGAAAGTCCGCGGYGCCGAACAGGCTYGACGAGCCCAAGGACGGGYGGAGTGACGACRTGGGKTGGACCCGCGGTAGTYTCGGGGCGAAGCAGTCGGAGGGRCTGAGYAGTGGTGGGGATTGGACGCCRGCCKCGGCAGGGCCTTGTGGCTATGGTGGTCSGTGGTCTTGGGAGGTTTGAAGGCTGCGCCTGGGRGYKGCAGTTAATTGAAATTTTTGTGTACAAGAAGGACTCGCTTTTATCTCCATTGCTGCTTTGTCTATGCATGTCGTGTGCGTGAAGCCCCGAGTGATGGGAGCTGGTTGTGCGCATGAGTGATGTCGAAGKTCTATGGATGATTCGATGTCCTGTCAAGGGTTGTTGATTGCATGCATGTATGTGTGTATGTACTTGTCCGGGCGGGGACGGGGGAACTGAACTGGGGGACCGTCTGCTTAGGAGTACGAGTSTGTTGATCCTGTTGTTCCCCTCCCCTCCGCGGCCTTTCCTGCGCGCACGCGCGGTCTCGGCGTAACTCACTCTCTCTCTCTCGATCGCCTTCCTTTTTGAACTGATAGTCATCGCTTTTGAACTTCTTGTCCCTGTCCCGGTGACGTCAACCGCCTGCGTCCGCGCGGACGGTCGATGCCCCCGCAAGGGGAGACAACTTAGATTTCGTCATCTTCCCCCGACGCACCCACTTTTGAGAGAGAAGAGTTGCGTCGAGTGTTGTATGGAGTCGGTGTTGGTTCGGAGGACCGGGAGCACGGGATCTTGCCCGAGTTCATCGCGTACCTCCGATCGTCTCATCTCGCTACCGACCTTCCCCATCACAGATGACGACAGCGTCTACTGCGATGCGGACGTATGGCGCGTTGAGGCGGACGGAGCAAGTGTGTTGGCAAGACCCGCCTTAGGCTTGTGATATAAGGGGGAACGGGTTTGTCTTGATTGATCGTTTTGATTCCCTGACTCTAATATTGCCCTATACGGGATTAACTGCGTTGCCCTGGTCGGCCGCTCACGCCGCGTGGCGGTCGCGGTTTGATTGTCACTAGTGTCGCCAGGGGGACTCGTGTTCTTGGCGACGTTTGGTCCTGGGTTACGAGGGAGCGACACGTTTCCTCGAGCTCTCCCGTAATGCGGGGGCGCTGCCCGCGCAATTTCGAATTCGGATGCCGGCGAGTCCTCCCGACGTTTCACCCTCTTTGGAAACTTCCGCGCGGACTTTGCGAGTCCGATGCCGAGGCTTGAAGACCTCGAACCAACCACCTCTACAACAAAAACCCGATTGTCCGGTCACTTCGTGAGGCCGATGACGAGGCCGGAAGGCTTCGAACCCACCACCTATCCCCCAAATCCATGACGGCCGGAGTTTCTGTCTTCCGCCGCCATGGCCCTCTCCCCTTGATGCCTTTTTCCGTCCTGATGCACGACGACAATACGTTTTTGCGGAAACCCTTCTGTTTTTATAGTTTTGGAGTGATCCGACCCCCACGGGACTTCGCGACGACAGTTCGACTCCCGGGTAACCTCTGGCAAGAAACGAGAGCCTCCCGTCCCGTCCGGGAGACTCCACCCCTACGGCCAAAAATCCTCGGCCACGCCCCTCCTAGAACTCTGATCGGTGACCCAGTACGGAAAGCTGCAAGGGGGCTTGAGGTTGCGTATCACAAGCTGCCCGTAGGAGGCCGAGGAGGCCATGGTCCTTGAGTTGGAGGCCGCGGTCCTTGAGTTTTGAACATTTCGAAATCAAAAGGGTGTGGTTCCACTTCTCTCGAATAGAAAAGCACTTCCAGTAGAACACGTTGTCGTACCAAATTCCCTTACAAAGGGTATTTGGCGTACTTTTCGCAGATCACACCGGTGCAGTTTTGGTTGTTGTTGACGGCGATGTCACGGCGTGTGTCGCGGGGCCACAACCTTTGGAAGGAGTTGGCAAGATTGGGTCGAAAGAGAACCAGCTTGTGAATGAGAGATTTGTCGAGACATGCCAAATATGATCACTGACACGGGCGGCGAACCACATCATGATATATGGGGGATAATGTTGAGTTATCGCCTTGATGAGTGACGCTCGCGGTGTGCTAGGCAACATCAAGGGCTAGCGGTGGCGTGCCATTAGTGCTGCAGACGGCATGTTGACAATTGAAGTACACAATGCCTCGGCCTCGCATGAGTGGTGTGAAGGTTCGACGCCCGTGGGTTCAAATTATGGGCCAAGAAGTGACCTTGGTAGGGTTTGGTAGACTGACCACGATTACAGATGCTTTTCATATAAAATCATGCGCCTCTTGAATCCAAGCTTGGGCTGAGGCCTATTGGTTATAACACTGGACTTTCAAACTGAAGGTACAAGGAATCAAGGTCAACTGTCAACGACAAGGGAATGGTGGAGAAAAACATGAGGGGTTGAGGGTCCTACAAGACTATCCTGTGACGAACCACTTCACGAACCCGTGCTATCTTTCCTACCCTTTCTTTTGCTTGTATCCTACCAACCCCAGGAAAAACCCCGTTTTGATTTCTTGCTTTCGGGTGCTGCATTTTCCTTTTTTTTTAGAGCTCTTTCGACTGCTGAGTTCTGTTTTTTTTCTTCTTTTGCAAAGTCGGGAAATACATGGGAAATTGCGCGCGCCTTAGCAAGCGCGCTGGTAATTGAGCTCGGCAGTTGGGAACTGTGGGATAAGCGGAACTTCGACGTGTCCTTTTTGGGTGTGTAAATGTTCTTAGGCGCGTCGGGGAAAACTCTCGGAATTTTGCGTAAATACGAATAGGCGTAGGATTTTTTTTCCCGCGTCGTTTTTTTTTCGCGCGCGGATATGGTGATTTCGATTTTTGAATTGCGATAGAAGCAAGCTGTAACTGTTTTGGTGCCTTTTTCTTTTTTTTGTTGACGGCGTCGTGCATGCAAAAGCTTCTTCCTCTCTGTCCCCCGCACCGCTCCCTGCCTCGCCTCCCTTCCCTTCTCCCTCCTTTTTCTCTCTCCTCGTAACTGTTTTTCCTTCTCCCTCTCTCTCTCCCGCCTTGCTTTCGCGTGCCCATTTCCCTTTCTCGATCATCTGAATCTTGGACCTGTCTTGCGCCACCTCTCGCGCCTTTTCTCTTCTCAGCCTCTGAGCCTGGCGTACGACGCCCAATCGATCCCCCGATAACTCCCACTCGCCAATCAAGTGTGTGGATCGATAGGACCTACCTATCGCGCGACGGATCTGATTGGTTGAACCTTGAGTTCCGAGGGATCAACATGGCGTTCTCGGAGCGCTCTTCTCCAAGTCTTCTCCTCCTTCTCCTCCTACACCCCCGCCTTCCCGTCGTTCTCTCCCCCTTCTATCTCCTTTCTCGCAACTATAAAACCCGCAAGCGCGCCCGTAAATCTCTCTTACGTTCTCAATTCCTAAGCCAGCTTCCGGAAAGCAGTGGCTAGGCAGATTGGATTGATGCGAGTCGGAAAGTCCTGTCCGGCTGACAATAGGCTGGCCGGTTGCGCGCTTGATCGCCACGAAGGACTGTGGGATCCGGGCGAACCGTGTCGAGTTTACGACAGTTGGGCGACGATCGCAGTGGTGGGAGTTAGCATGCGACGACCGGGATAGTTGGTGCGGATATGAGGGTTGATGATTGGAGTTGAGTGAGTGAATGGCCCGGGGCCATAGTGGAATGAACGGCGAATGTGCCTTAGTTGCGAATTGTTACCCTTGGCGTGAGTGTAAGGCGGCGACGCCGAACTTTTCTCTTTTCGGAGCTTGTCATGTTCTATTTTACTCTCTCTCGCTCTCTCTCTCTCCTCTTGAATGATGATGCGTCCGAATGATTGTCCCGCTCTTGAATGGAAATGAGTCGGCATTCTTTGTAAAGGAACTTCTTCCAGAACTCTTCCATTAGTTTCCTGGGTAATCGTCCTACGCAAGGACCGTGTTTTCTTGTCTTGTGAACGGTGGATGCCTGTGTACTGAGTGATGCGATCGATCTTTTCCTGTGCATGTCTCATTTTTGCATCTTTCACAGTGAATGCATGTAGGGAATGAG